TTTTGGCTTTGGCTTGAGAATGCAGGTCAAGCAAGAGAAGAATCTCCAACAGGATTACATGGCCAACATAACTGATCTTCGCGTCTAGAGTAATGACATTTGGTCATGGCCCGGTACGAGCTGCACTACTAAACCGGTGCATAAATAAGTGCGAAAGGTTCATTTTGCTTAAATGCATAAACTCGTGCCTAAATAAACACAAAAGTTTTAGCCTGAACATTGTTTTGTACGCCCACCCTAAATGTTTTACTCAGTTTGTTTGCCCTTTCGATGATAAACGACTGGGTTGAGCGATCGAAAAATCCGTTTCCGGCCCTTTCTTCTATAAACAAAAAATTTTAACCCGTTTGCTTGCAAGTTTCTATCCGGGTTTTTTGGCCTAGATTAGTAAATGCCACTAAATTCCCATTCGACACAAAGCCAAAAACTTTGGAAACTTACTTGCTACCTAAGTCAAACCGTCCGGGTCAAACCATTCGGGGAAGCGTTTAGGCAGAATCCACATGTGGCGGGTCTTTATGCACGAGTTTATGCAAATATGCAAAATGAACCCTTCGCATTTATTTACGCACGGGTTTAGTTTTGCAGTTCGTATCTCGCCGTTAGGGGCCCAGTAAACTGCACATCCAGTAAATCCCAAATCCAGTAAATTTCACATATTCTTCTGCTATGCATGAGCATGATCGCGGACGTACTGAAGTTTGCGATTGCTATACTCGCCCTAAAGCCACAGTTTACGGTTGGTTTCAAAACTTTGTACTTGCAGAAATTACCTTTTTAGCCATTTAAACTTTTTAAGTGCAGGCTGTTTAACTGCGTCGGTTAATTATGGCATGAACGAAATAAAGCATTCTGCTTAATCACATTTATTCAATCCATCATACCCACAGTAAGGATGGATTCGTAGGGGGTATCTTTTATAGCGAGCCGGCGGACCCATGCCTTCGACCGTGGTGTTCCATTATCATCGTGATACACTTTCAAAGTTTTTTTGAAACCACGTATCATGCTGTCATCATCCCACTCCGCCGAGCAACGGTATGTCTCTCCCTCGCGCTGACCGCAAACGAATACTAGTGCTCCCGCCTGGACGCATACATAAAGCCGTAACGCTATATGGCTGTTGTATTCGTAATATCTGTCCCCCACTATTTTACCAGCAGCAACATTAATAACCCAGTCCACGGCCTCCAGGTCCAAAAACTCGATGCGTCTAACACACTTTACTGGGATAACATACTTACGAAAATACATCATTCCGCGCGCTGCCTCGAACATTGAAGGATAGTCGAATGCGTTGGTCGGTGCAATCTGCCACGGATGCGCTACCATGCAGTACGGCGATGGGCCATCCTCTACACTGGCATAAAAAAGTCCGAAATCAGCCGTTTGTGTAACGAGACGGGCCAGCCGAAAGATGTAGGGTCCATTGTCGGCATTACGCACCGCCACCTGAACTTCCAGAGACCCCTCATCTTTGATTATTTTGTCGAGCTCATGCCGGTTCTCAGATGTGTTTATACTCAGGTGTTCCCAGAGATAACGGGCATGAATCCAACGAGCGGGAAATGCCGCTGCGTTAAAGTCAACAAACATTTGGTCAACATCGATGTCTCGAACGTATCCCAGCCATGATTCGCCGTTGGGCTGCTGAACGATCACTGTAGTGCCATTGTTATGTTCCCAGACATGGCTTTTCGGCTTTTGGAAGGGGTACATGTTCGGCAGGGATGTATTTACAGGACGTGTTCTCGTGTGCAAAGATTCTCGACGCAATGATCAACTACAGAGCGTAATCATATACTCGATTGGAAACACGGGTCACTGCATAACTATTGTCCACTGTATAGTATGTCAGCAACTTTTCCAAAGCTCGTATAATTTGACAGTTGCTCTGACGAAATGAAATGCTATGTAGCGCCCATTGATGCAACAAATAGCTACGTAAGTCAGATCCATGTCGTTCGAAGATTTGGGCTGTTTCTTGTGTGCTGCGATAATCAATGACAGGGCAGATGAAAGGAAAATTGATTCGCTGATAATGCCACCCAAGAAGAGAGAGAGCAGACATTTGTCCCTGTTTGAGGAGATTTTGAGATTACGTTTTTATTGTTCTGCCAAAATCAGAACTGGGCCAAACAGTCTGCTAGTAATTCAACTATCTGTACTTAGACTTCAACTACTTATACTTATTCAGTCAGCAATTTCATGACCGATTGAGTCGTGAATTTGATTACTACAACTGCAATTAAGTACCAACAAACTTTTATAGACTGCTTGCAAGCAGCTCCTCTAGTGGAAGATTTTTTTATTTTTCATTGATTCTGCCGTCGTTGTATCCTTATAAAAAGACAGTTCCCGGGACCCGAATATTGTTGCAATACTGTCTCGTCTTATAGAGGCTGAAATAGATGCACCGGTTCTAAAATACATACTTCTATTGCAATGTTCTGGAATAAGGTCCCTTATGTCAGATACTGTATCAGCGTTTGGGCAATACTGTCTCCATGCCGGAAAGTAAATCCCTTCCCCAGCATTGGGTGATAACAAAATAGCAATCTACTCATGCAGAGAATCTGATTTTTGCTAACTTCTTTCACTTAATTAGGCTTGGTAACGCCGGCGGCAGTGGTAGCGAGGTCACAGGTTGAAATGAAAAATGATAATTCATTGGGCTGGAATACAACAACCGGCAAGCCTCAGCGCCTACTAGTAGGCGCTGCCTATTGGGTGCGATAATGATAGGCCCGTAAGCAAGCAAAGACTTTTTCGTACACTGTATCAGGGATCGGAGGGCAATCGACTTCCGCCGTTTCCAGAAAGCGCCTCACAATGTCATCATTGGTATCACTTGAACGCAGGACCAAACGAGATATCAGGATCCGATATAATGAGACCTAACCGTAATGGCATAATGACATAACCACAACGGCATGCTGAAAAGAGTAACTATATTAAAAGTGTAAAATAGGTGCCGAAATGTCAAGAAGTCGTAAATTTCCGTTCATTTCACCTCGTGCTACTCGTGAATTGTGCATTTACTGCAAGCATTGACTGTTTTTTACCGTTGTCCGAGCTTTTTGTAAACTCGTTTTAAACAATTTTAAACCATTTATCATATTCGTACCCATATCCAGGATTGGTTCCCAAGGGATATCTTTTATAGCGAGCCTACATTCCACATCGGTGTTTTACGGTCATCGTGGAACCATTCCAAGGTTTTTTCAAAACCACGTAGCAGGCAGCCTTCATCCCAGTCTGCTGAGGAACTATATGTGCTCCCTTTGTACTGAGCGCAAACAAACATTTGCGCATTCTTCTGGACGCTGACAAAAAGGCGCCATGCTATCTGGCAGTTGTAATCACACTCCCTGTCTTCGACTCGTTTAATGGCAGCAACATCGATCACGCACATCACGGCATACAGGTCCAAAACCTCGATGCGGCTGATGTCCTTTATTGGCACAGTGTATTTCCGATAATACATTGTTTCACAATAATGCTCAAAAAGCGAAGAATTATCAAAAACATCGGTCGATGCAAACTGCCATGAATGCGCTGCCATGCAGTAGGATGCCGGACCATCTCCTACCCTGACGTAGAACATGCGTAAATTAGCCGTTGGTATAACGAGACGGGCCGACCGAAAGATGTAGGGTCCATCGCCGGTTTCGCGCACTGCTATGAGAACTGCCAGCGAGCCGTTTTCTCGAATTTCGTGGTCGACAGTACGCCGATCTCAGTACGTCGACAGTAGACTGCATCCAGATGCCATTGTACCCACAGATAACGGGCATGAATCCATCGAGCGGGAAATGCTGTGGCATTAAAGTCAATAAACATGTGGTCTCCATCGATGTCTTGCATGTATCCCAGCCATGATTCGCCGTTAGACTGCTGAACGATTACTGTACTACCGTTATTATGCGCCTAAGCACGGGTCTTCGGTTTTAGGAACGGATACATGTTGAGCTGATATGTGGCTGCTCACAGGTGTCCTTCTGGTGACGTATGCAAGATATACTGATTAGGTAAGAATGGAGCAGTTTCCAAGATGAAGCAAGAACATCGCAAGAACTCTTTTCTGCAAAACGTTATATCGATTGGAAATACGTGTCAGCGCTCAAACAATTCTAACTTTCGCACAGCTTTTGTAATATGACCCACTGCATCGACGAAACGGCCGTCTTCTCCACGTTAGGAGGCCCCCAGACAGCTGGGAGCTGGCGAACTTCGCTCAGTAGGAACATTCAATGAAGAATTAGACCCAATTAACATGAGATGGGATTTCCGAATGCTTATTTTAGTTATTTCTATTTGCTCTGAGAGCGACAGGTGGTGCGCAGGATACTGGAAGGCAAAAGACGAAGCGCTGGTAATCACATTGCAGTCCAAGATTCCACTGAACACATGCAGTTGTCTGTCTGAGAGGATTTTGCAGTTCCTTATTGTTTTTTTGCGGCCTGAGGGGTTTCCAATTTTTACAGTTTCCAACGAGTAACATTGCCGTCAACGACTTTAGTGACAGGAATTTTAGTTGGATCGTGTATTAGATTAATTAATAAACACTATCGCAATTTTTTAAGCTCTATTATTTGTGAGCATTTTCTCAACAATTTTATTACAATTCTATTGGGTCATACTACGTATCGCCTCCAATGGGCCACTTAAAGGGCGTACAAAATGGACTTTGAACTCTCTTTATCGGATAGCTGTTCCCGCTTGTATCCGGACATTAACCGAAAAGCGGCAGGAATAAGCGACATGCAATAAGGGTGCTTTCATTCGCTTAAGATAAGACGGCAGCGGTAGAGATTTGTAAAGGTCACGGCCACAACCCTCTAGATGCTGTTTTTAGTCTGATTAATAGTGCTTCCTACCAATCCCGGTGAGGTTTTCTCTGCACACTACTTTTTTATGAATGGTTGTATGAATGATTGTATTATGTTTATGCATGTTTGACCGGAATTTACATCATCAGTCGGTTAACAACACGCTGAAGCGAATGCGCCAATCTCATGGTAGATACACGCAGTATATAGCTTCCGGTACAGAGTAGAGTTAGGTTTCTAGCTAAATTAATAAATTACTAATGCCAGAATTGAGAGGCGCGATAAGTTATAAGAGAAGTCTGGCATGCAAATTCTGTGGGAGCTCTACAGCGCGAATATAAACCGCCATGGTACGCACTTTGCACGAAATTGTACTGTAGAAATGGCAAAAATTACATTAAGAAATCGAACTTGGATTGATACGGTCGGGAAAGTAGAAATGTACTTTGTAGTATGACGTTAATGATACGAGTAGAGGACGTGAAACTAGCTCGCTATGCCGGAATGGGGAGAAATGTAGCTGTTTGCAGTACAACGTTGCCGACCATGAACGCCATCACAATGCCCGCCTAAAATGCAAGCACAGCAGTTATGCTTCCGTTTCGTTGTTAGAGAGCAAGAATAGTTCCCATAAATTCTGCGTACCATCTGAACGACTCCGCGGCTAATGGGCATCCGACCCACTGCCAGACCCACGGGTCTACTTCTAATGCTTCGAATACTCTTGTACAAGTCATTCTCCACCTCTTTCGGAAGCGAACCGCCCACCCTGGAGACCGATCGATCCACAGAATGCGCCATATCATTCCCCTGAAAGAAACCAACAAATATTTCTTGTCAGGCAACGAAACTGCGAAAGCATATGATCTACGTAGATGCTAGTAATAATCGTGCTTCGGCAGTCGGCAGATAAAAATGTCAAACGATCAATACATTTACGTTACAATACCACTAAAACATACGAGTATTACGGTACTCCATTAGCTTCGTAATCCAGGCTTTTACAGCTAATGACAATAGTGTGATTCCGTCTCAGACGTATTATGACGTGAGGTACTAACAATTTAAAAGACAATTAAAGTTCGCTTTTCCTGGCCCCTGTATGGGCAAAACAATTTAAATTTGTATGCAAACTACAAAGCCGATTTTCAAAATGAAATCTTAGCCTTATACCACAAAATATTTGTTTATCGTCCGAAAATAAAGGATTATTGATTTACCTCATCACTGACTGTGGCAATCAGATATGCCAAGCTACTTGCCATCAGGAGCTGAGCCAATACCGCTAGAAGGTCAGCAAGCGGCAGGCTAAATTCACGGGAAATATGTTCACCAAGGGAGACCGCAGTACCGAGATAATCATAGCAGAATAAATAGAAAAGCATGTTGTTAAGGCCGGAATCCCAGGCAACGTCCCATATCGCATCATGATGCCAGGAAAATTTTCTTTTACAGAGTATATAAGTGCCATGCAGACACTGTCTCCTCATGCTCCTCATCAGATTTCAAGCCCTCCGTCGTGTGTGGGATCACCATCTGCCAGTTGTACAGCGCAGCCACCGTCAGCACACACCACGTTATCACGACACCTCGGACCAGGAGCAACTGCACATCCGCAATTATACCGGCGTACATCCCGAGGCGGTACAGCATCTGTCGCCGGCAGAAAGGTAAGTGGGTTGACGGTTGATCGCCGAAGAAGCCGCCCGGCAGCAGGGGTAAGCGTTAGGCGAGAAGATGGAAGCAGTTTGCAGCGGCCCACAATAAACATAACTCGGAAAGGTCAACATGTAAGATTGACGAGGCGCGTAAGAAGCGCTCGCACAAAAAACGATGCCTCACGGAGTGTTAATAAGTGAACGTTCCGATTCGATAACAACCATACTGGAATAGGTCATCGGTTTACTTGTCAGTGTGTCCGTTTAGCTTCGTTCAATATCTTCGCTAACTTACTTTTTTATATGTCGATAATTTTTTGGTGCTGTTATTATTGATAGTTCTTACGCGATTACCCGTTACCCTGCGCGAATGGGCTACACAGGGCATTTGACCTCTCCCACTGATCCGTTACCATATCAAAACTATCTCAGCCCGGGAAGAATGATGATGTCCTTCAACCTTTCTTAACTTTCCTGCCGGGTAGCTTCCTTGACCATCAGCCGTCAGTCAGTTCACCTTTCTGCCGGCCATAAATGGCTTAAGGTTAGGGGCAGGATCCCAGTCAGTTTGCGCATACAGCTGCGTTCCTTGTTCGGACAAAATATCGACACGTGTCAAGAAGCGATATTTAGATAAAACAAAGATAACTGCGGCGATGATGTTGATAATCACTGCATAATCGAGCCATGTCCGTTGCTTGAATAGCGAAGGGGATTTTGCAGTTGCTTCCGTATGGGAAATTCGAAAGCTTCATATGAAAAAGCAGTTATGCCACATGCAATGTGAAATTATACAAACAAATGAGTCACTTAGCTACAAAAAAGCTCTCACGTTGTGCTCTCCAAATAATGCTTGTAAGCATTTCGAAAATGCTTCGGCATGCGTTTCAGAAAGACGCTAATGGAAATGAACAACATGATGGACGATGTAGTTTTCCACAAGACTGCAGCTCTCTTCATGTACATCTGGTTCTTGCTGCACCAGTCCAACTGTGGGACCATTTCCATATGCGAAATAATTATCAACAGGCCGGAAATTACTGCACACCATGCCACGTTGATGCTGAGTAAGCACGTTCTCCAGACCGAGTTGCGAATAGGGAAACACTGCACCAAACCGAACACCCGCAGGATAATCCAGGTATATTTCAGGAAACGATCGAAAGTGGCGATGTGCGGTTCGTTTGATTCCAGCATGACCGCCCGTTCCGGTATTTTTTCCGCCAATTTTTCTTCGTCCGGAGTTTTTGGGACTGGCAACGGCTCACCCGCCACTTTTTTATCCGGTTCAACATCCAACAACACCTGCACTAAATCGCTAGTCCCATCCATGGCGAATATAATTATATATCAGAGGAAAATTTTTTTACAAAAACAAAACACTGGCTGATGGCTGCTAAGTCCAACAGAGACTGAATGGCGCAATGGCGGAGAGGATAACAGAATGCCAACTGTTGCAATTCTTGCACCGCAACATATGTTCTGCGCGGGCCTGGAAAAATGAACCGGTTTACGCACCCTGCTTAGGAATTCATTTGCTTGTCATACTAAGGGTTCTCTTGTCTGTACACCTTTCCTTGCGTTCCCACAGGAATAGCTATGGAAGCAGCCGCTTGTCAGCAGTCTCTTGCCAATAATCCAATTGACAGGTTCTTAGTAACCGTTATTTACACTTTGCTGAAGAGCACTGCCATATGTCTGCATATCAATAATGCGATCTTTGTTTGCAGAGGGATCATATTCTGGTGTTTCTGGTAACGATCCCGCGGCAGCACCTGTTGGAGAAGGTTTGCATGCTCCACGATGCTTCGCTAACTGTTTACTTGGGAGTATTATTTTACTGATTTTATAATGTACATACTAACTCAGTAAACAGCTGAACACCGCTCACAGCAAAATAAGTACTGGAACATTCGAATGAAAAATTTGATCCCACTCATCCCAGTTGGCAGTTAGCATGAGATGGAACTGTACAAGTGCATAGCGCACTAATTCAATATGTTATCCACCATAAATTGCTATAAGCAACAAATTGCTATAAGTCCGTCTGAAAAATTAGTAACAATCGTTCACAAACATCACCCAAACAGTATGATCTAATTAAGGAATTTAAGGAATGCTTGCCTTCCCCCTGAGTCGGCACAGTACCCAAAACTCGCAACGTTTCCTCGAATAATTTCAAATACTATTTAAAACAAGCATATGCGGATGCGTCTAATCGAAAAATTTAAAGAACGCTATACTAATGCCGGCTATAGCCAGCTTGCTTAACGAACGTAAATCCACGGTACGCAGATCCATACTCTTCCAGCGAAATACACCACCATCCGCATTAAATCTATTGTATCTACACACGAAGATAACATGACATACACGGGAGTGCACTGAGCAGTTTTGAGCGATTAAAGATAGTCATGAAGAAGTGTTTTCGCAAAAATTACTTAGTTGGTCGTCTACTAAATCGGTCCGATTCAGGAACCTTGCAAATTTTGTTAATCGAAAATTTTTTAATCGATACTCTGCTGTTTAAAAATTTCTCTAGGAAGTGGTTTCAGCCAGTCAATGGTAGTGAGTAAAAACTTTAATGTTCAGTCATTTACGCAACACGTCTAAATTTCAATCGTAAAATTTCTTAATCGCTCATTTTTGCTTAGCGCACTGGCAGTTGTACAACCTAAAGCCTTACAGTTCCAGACATAGGCGAATCACCTCCCATTCCTCCGGATAGGAGAGCTTCTCTACCCAGCGGCGGCGAATTCTCTCGACCCTTTCATACACCACTTCCGGGAGGGAAGGGCAGCTGGCTTCGGCCGCCATCAAAAATCGCCTGACCAGGTCTGCATTGGTATCCGTTGAGCGGAAAATCAAACGAGAAATTGCTATTCGCAGCTTCCGGTATTCGAAAAACCAGTCTGTGGGATATATAGGGGTGAACAGTTTTTCACGAATGGGGAGATTATCCAGGATATAAACTACATGGTGAATGATCCAGCGCATCTCGTAGGAAAATATCCTTAACGGTGTACACTGTAATTGCTGATCACTAAGCGTAGCTGCTGGCATACGGGGATAAGCTCGTCTAGGTCACGGCTTAAGAGAACTGGTTTCCGTTCGTGATTACCGGCCTGGTTTACGCAAAATGAGCCCACAATTCCGTGTGAAATTACGCCACCCATAATGTGTATAAGACGCATGTGTAATTTTTTGGCACTTAGAAATGCCTGGGTGATACGAGCTATGTGTTCGTGTGAACGATATCGGTGAAACTGATGCTGACGGTGTGCATGGTTAACGCATGATCCAAGCACCATGCAAAACGATAGACATTATCGCTTCCTCGTCGATCGTACGGATGGTCTGAGAGGACCATGTAACTAACTGGCTCTAAATAAATTAATTATTCTAATTCATAATTGTACAGTATAACAATAGCGAGAGCCCGATATCGTTAAATTAAATTAATATCAGATTGAAACTGACGGAATCGTCGGCATTCGATGTCTGCAATAATTTCCAAATGTTATTTATTTTAAAACAAGCCCATGCCGCCTACTCTGCATATCTCAAGAACACAGTGTCCATGCTTGCAACAGCCACTTTGGTTAAGGATCGTAAATCTACACTGCGAAGATCGGCATCACTCCAATCAACTGCATTTCCATCCGCGTTAAATCCACTGTACCTGCATACGAAAAAAACAGCTAAACTATTCCGTCGAATTATCGCACGCGCCGTGATCGTTACGCCTGCCGCAGGTAGGGTTATTTGTGAGGCAACTTATTAGTGTGTGAAGTCTTACAACTGGAGACATCGCCGAATTAGTTTCCATTCGTCCGGATAAGAGAGCTTCTCTATCCAGCGGCGACGTATTCTCTCGACTCTCCTATACACTTCTTCCGGGAGGGAAGGGCAGTTGGCTTCGACCGCTACCGAAAACCGCCGCACAAGTTCTTCGTTGGTATCCGCTGCGCGCAAAAGCACTCGAGCACTCACAATGCCCAGTTGCCGGTGTTTCCTACGCTGGTGTGCGGAGAATACACGGATGAAATGACTTTTTTCGTGGTCAAAGCTGTTGTGCAGAAACACAACGATGGTAACCATTTCGTGGGAAATGCTCTAAACGGTGTAATTGCTTGCTACCAGCTGGCCGCACACAGCGAGAAGTTCGCGCAGGTCACGGCTTAGACGAACAGGTGTCACTTCTCGATTACCGGCTTGGTTTATGCAGAAGGAACTCTCAATTCCGTATTAAGACACTCCATTCTTAATGTGTACAAGACGCATGTGTAGTTTTTTGGCGGCTACTACGGCCCGTATAATGCGAGGTATAATGCGAGGTATGTGCTCAAACCGCGTATTATACTGGTCAATGTAGTCGGTGATACTGATGCTGACCGTGCGCGCGGTTAGTGCTTGATCCAGGCACCATGCAAAGAGATAGACTTTATCGTATCCTGGCCTGTACCACGGAGGGCATGACAGAGCGATGTAGCTGCTGATGATTAAATGCTGGCTCGCCGTTGATGTTCTGAGCAGCAGATGCCATAATCCACAAACCCTAAAAAAAAGAAAACTAAAGCTGTGCAATGTGCAGTCTGTTGCTAAATGTTGTTGGTTTGCTCCACCGCCGCAAAAATTTATTGTTCACTCATGCTGGCTGCCTGCATTGGATCCAGTTTGCTACCTTTTGACTTTGGCTTGCGAATACAAATCTAGATTAAGAAGGATATCTTCCATGATAGGTAGTGTAATATCGGCCAGTTGAGCATCTACAATCAGAAGATGACAACTGAATCCTGATTCCTGATAGATCTAATCGCTCTTATTTTTTCAGCAAGTTGCTATATTGTTTCTTTCTATAATTAACTGCGCGTTCGTTTACTGGAAGTGTACGTGTATATGCGGGCATCATATAACCTGTAAATAATTATTGCTGCCCGTAATCTCGGATAGCGTTCAACTTAGTTTTATTCTACCCTAAGTCGTTAACTTAATTTCAACCAGAGAAACTCTTTTACTTCGCATTGAGGCATAAAGTATACTTGTCACTACTCATTGTATGGATATTTCATCGAATTTTTAATTCATACATCGCACCTGTATGCAAGCTAAATTCGAGGGTTGAGTCTTTTAGGCAGAGGAGGGGTTTCCACATCCGTTGAGGATGATATCCATAGCACTTTGCCAAGGATTCCTTATAAGCACGCTTCAGGCAGCCTTCGCTCCAGTGGGCCGAGTCGATGTATTCTCCCCCAACATACTGAGCGCAGACCAGCGTGAAGACATTCGCGCGGATGCTCACAAAGAAGCGGCCAGCTATCAGGCGATTGTAACTGTGGTAAGCAATATAGTGGAGGCCCTTCTCTATCTTAGTTGCAGCACCATCAATAACCGAATACACCGCCTTTAGATCGAGAGCTGCAGTGTGGCTGGCATCGTGAACTGGGACTATGAATTTCCGATAGTAAATCCTCCCCCTGGCTTGTTCGAACAGCGAAGGATAATCAAATGCAGTGGTTGGGTTAATTTGCCATAAATGAGCAGCCATGCAGTAGGATTTTACACCATCATCCACACTGATATAAAATACTCCCAATTCGGTCGCTGGTGCAAGAAGCCGAGCCGGTCGAAAAATGTACGGCCCATTGTCACCATTGCGAACCGCGGCTAGAATTTCCAAGGCGCCATGTTTTCTGATGTGTCTATCGGCAGCACTCCGACTATTCCATTCATCCAGATGATGGTGTTCCCAGAGAAAACCTTTATGAATCCAACAACCGGCAACTGCACGGCAATTAAAATCTATAAACATGTGCTCTCCATCAATATCCTGAACGAATCCCAGCCAGGGTTCACCGCCGGGCCGTCGAACGATCACCGTAGTGCCGTTATTATGTTCCCAAGAGCTGCTTCTCGGTCGTCGGAAATGATACATGTCCTCTGAAAGTCTAATATTAAAAAATGGCTTAAGCTGGCGTAGCAGTGGCACTCACAAAATCACAGTACAATTACCTACACAATGATAATCAGCCAGAAGAACTTCTCGACTCAAAAACGGCCCGATCTACAAGTTGGGCTGTGGTAATTTGTAACTCAGCACTTGTATCGAAAGAAGATATGGCATGCTGGGCTCAACAACACATTGGGAAAAAGCCGGGGGATTCCAATAAAGAGCAAAACGCTCCGTACTTCGCGCTTGCCGCTTGCTCTATCTCTATGGAAAAGATTATGCCAGTAATCTCAACCTTACGGGAGCTAGTCACCTAGAGATAGTCGGGCGGGACGCGGTGGTTTGTTCTGTTTGTCTAGGAGTATGCCAGTCAGTTGTCATTGGTCAACATGTACCGTACCTGGTTACTTAGTCTGCAATCT